GCTAAATTAAATGAACTGTCAATGTTATCTCTTTGACCAGAGGAGTGTGAGTAGTCTGCATAACTTGATATGTATGCAAGGAAACTGAAGACAAGGAAGACTATTAAGTATAATCCCAACAATAATAGTAGGTACTATGGTATTGTGCAAAAGATACTATCATTTCTTGAAATTAGGGAGATGGGTGAAATACAGTCAGAACTCCCTTTGGTATTCTCTTCACAGAGAAGCCTAGAAATATTTTATTAAATATTAATAACAACATAAAAGACCTTTGGTCTTATTTTCATTTTAATTAGGCAGGATATATATGCCATTCACTTTGAAGCCAAATGCTACTCCTTTGTATTAACCTGCAGGGGGTACTAGAAAATTGAACCAAGTAGCATTTAGCTATTTCTCCTCCTGCCGGAGATAATTAACACCTACTCTTTTGCAGACTCTCTTACTGTTACCTGATCCCCATATACAGGTTTCGTATTCAATTCCAGAGTTTGAGCAGTAGGGTGTGAAATGCTGCCTCAGCCCATTTCTTACGAATTGGCAGAACCCAGGAAAGTTATTAACCTTCAACTTTAACCTGCTAAACTTACAAAGTAACTTAATCTCATAATTAAATCAAATTGGTGAGACAAAATTGACAGTAATTCCAGGAGGGAAACAAAGCTGTATATAATGCACTGAACTTTTTTTTTGGTGAATAAAGACAACTGAGGAGCCTAAGAATGATAGCTCATATGGCAGAAGGAAGTAGGAAAATTTTTGACACATTAAGCTAAGGCAGGAGTTAGTAAGATGCAAATGAAATAAAAAGGTAAGAAATCAATTGTATGAAGTCTGTGGGTTTCTAGACTTTGGCTAGCTGTTTTTGAAACCTTTCTTTCTACACACCGCCACATCTAAAGCCTGAGAATTATCTTAAATGGGGCCTTGGAGCTGCTGATGTAGCGGCCATTGATCCTGGACCCTTCACTGGGAGGACCTTGAAGAGCTGTCAGGCTTCTGGGCAAACTTTCTCCTTTGGCTAATGGCCTTGGGCATTCACTTTGGCCAGAGCTTGATGTCCTGCAGTCAACCGTCCAGGTAGCCTAGCACTTCTTTCTTCGTAAACCTAACATGTTAATCTTGGTCAGTCCACTGCAGAGCTATATCTTGCCAATGCTTCAGTGGGGGACTGGACTGTCATCTTGGTTAAGCTTCCTCACAATGAAGAGTCTGGTGAACTTAAATGAGTTACACACATTAATGGATAGGAAGCAGAGCTGCTTTTACAGAAAACCCACCTGTGCTCTGCTCAAAGAAAATTATGTCTGAATACTCCACTTAGTGGTAAATTCATGTTTTGTAATGATAGTTGGAGAAACTGTAACAAGTTCAACTGTCACTATTATGCCTTTTGACTGAAATTATCTCCTTTGTGCATAAGCATTATGAAACATGATACATTTTTTCACTGACCCCCTCCTTTATAAAGTAGATGTTTCTCCTTTGATCATATAATACTCAAAATTTTGTATATTTTGTTTCCTGCTTATGTAAAATTAACATCATTCCATCTTTCCTTTACATTTTTTAGCCTAGGTCTGGGAAAACAATTATTCATTTCTCCATATAAAAAGTACATGAAGGTGATAATGCTTCATCCTACAGGAATGTTATTGGAAATAGATTTCCTCATAGTATCTATGAGGAAACTGTGTTGTGGTGATGATAAGTAGCTTGCTTTTTCCAAAACTTCTGCGTAGTGAAGAAGTATAAACAGCTTTGTTTTGTTAACAAGGTGAAAATCCAGCAAACAGCTTCCTTCATCCCCTAATTGTCCTGACTTTTTAGACACAATTTTAAGTGGGCAACAAAAATACTAATCTCTACTTTTTTAAATAAACTCACATTTGTGAATTTGTGATACACTGAGGTATTCTCCTGGGTAGTTTGTAAATTTTAACAGGTGTAAGCAGATTTGTAAGCATAAAACTTCCACGTCTGCTGTAACATATCATATTGGATTCCACCGCTCTGCTTTTAGGAAAGCAAATTTAGCCTTTACAGTGATTACCGGACTTGGATTAGTCATGATCACAGAGGCTGCAAAACAGATTCTGATGTGTCTCACTTCCCTTGTTCACAGATATGTATATAATGTGTTAGAGCAAACTGAAAATATTAAACCTATTTTATACTTCGAGAGCAGTTGGTTTGAATTCAAAAATTTAGCCTTCAAGCAAAAGAAATCCATGTCTTTGTATATCAAGAGCTGTAAGAGTATGAGCTGTTACTGAGGGGGAGGAAACGGGGAGGAAAAAAGCTTTTGTTAGTGCATACAAGTTTTAGCACTTTTTTGTGTCAATAAATACCTAAAAATAGCAACCCTCCCAACTACTCATTTATGAATATTACAAGTGGACATTTTCTGTATTTAAGAAGCATTACTACTAAGGAGTTTTGAGACATAGAAGACAGAAAATATTAGGCTAAACTTTTGGTTTTACTACACTATAAAGTACTTAAGGGTTTTGAGGAACAGAAGATCAAAAGTGATAATCTTTTGTTTCTACTTAAAAGAATAAACAAAACCACCTGATTAAGCTTAAAAGATAATCAAACTTACTTGTTTCTGAGGTACAGTAGGATACTCATACAAAATACAGCTATGCGTCATTTATCCTGTAACAGATAAAATGCAATTGTTCAAAAATATTTGAATTATATTGTATAGTTGCCATCATGGCATTATCACTGAAGGGTACTTGGAAAACACAACTAAGCCATCTCCTGATCTCTCAACTAGGAAATGTAAAGATATAATGAAACATCTGATATCTTTGATACTGGAGCGCAGCTTTCTAGTTTGTTTTGTACCCTTTTTCAGCTGCCATGGGATTGATGACTGTGAAGTAAGTTGCATCAACCTGTCAGGCCAACGCAAGACAAAGCACTAAATTTGGTCTCCTTATAGTCAATGTTAAATTTGAAGGAAATTAAAAATATATCTTTTATACCAGTATGAATTGTGTAGCTCTGTTTTAATTGAGTAGTTTACTTATTTGGAGAATTTTCATTACTGAATAAGAATACAGAATCTAATTATTTCCATTTCATATTCATTTATGACTGTATTATATGAGAAAGAAAAATAGTTTCCAAACTCCTAATGAATTCACTCTTATGTCTGGCATTTTTCTTCAGCATACAGCAAATTCAACAAATGAAATGGCAGTTGTGTAGTCTGCCTCAGAAGAACAGCTGCACAAGTTAGTTCACCATAAAACAAGCTGAACAAAATGATTTATGGAGTACTGTTTCCTTAATTATTTCACAGAACCTTTCTGGCTCTGGAGATTTGTTTGAGCCAACTATTGCAAATCTCTGAATTCCAGAAATAGTAGATTCCTGTCCTTCCTTCTTTACCTCCATTTTTCATCATGAAAACAAAAGCTCTTAATACTTTGTAATTTTTTGCTAACAACTCTATATTAATATTATTTATATTATAATAAGAGATTGAGATCTGGAAAGACAGTGTTAATCAGATGACTGAGTTTAATAATGCTAAGATAATTCTTGCTCTGGCAGTTTTGTGAAACTGTAAAGAAAACTGGAACAGAGTGCAATGTAGTTGACAGAGACATGAGTGTTTTAAGAATTCAGTCTCTCAGAAGCCTACCTCAGTGCATATTTTGACATTATTTTGCATCTGAGCATCAAGAAATATGAGTAACTACATTGAAACTTGATTTATCTAAACTAAAAAGGATGAAGAAAGTTTAATTTTGACCTTTTAGTTCAATATGCTAATATGAAGAATACCTGACAGAAGGAGTTGCTTAGTTCATTATGGATAGAGTGAAATTCTCCTCTTGTCTTGGGCCTTATGTGGTCCTCATAGCTTCTTGGCTTCCTTTACTATGCAGAATGATGAAACATATTTATTGGCCAGAGGGAATTTGGATGGTCCTAAGAATTTTTTCTAGACTTTTCTAGAAAACTTCCAAGGTAAAGGAAGCCCTTATTTGCCCAGTTTCTAGGAAACAGAGTGATGATCTTGCACAAAAAGGAGACATTTAGAAGCTCTGTACAGGGTCACTGAAAATTCTTCTTCCAATTACAGCCATCTGTTCTAACTCCCTGCAATTTCAGGCTTACTCCCTACCCTCAATTTCTGAGTGTTTTTTCTTTAAAAGTGTCTGTCTCCCAATACCCTGCCTTCCTTTCTGTGTGTATTGAACATCAGCTGTATGTAGTTTATATTTGCAGAAAACATTTCTTAATTTTTGAAAGGGAAGTAGTTGTTTCTTTCCCATTCAGCGTGTTTGCAAGAAAACACCATTGCTCTCATATTTAGGGACCTAAGCCAGGTATTGTAGGTGATCATGACTGTGTTTAGTCAAAGGAGGGTGAGATTGTGGGATTCAAATGTAGCAGCCTGAGCTCACAGCTGCACCTAGCCTTCTGTTCTGTTATGAACCAATAAGGAGAGGTTGTACTTATTACCAGGGCTGGGGAATTATCCATGCAAAACAATTAAAATTGCTTCTGTTCAAGCATACTCCACACATTCAGTGTGGGTACAATGTGAGATCACTGTCACATTAGTGGTCTCATTTTTATTAATTATATTTTATTTTTGTCTGTTCAAATAACCACGGTTTTCTTTCACACAAGTCTCATGGGTATGAATTACTATGTGGCTTGAGTACAAGCAACAGGTTAGAAAGGAGGGATAAATTCACTTTAATAAGTTTTTTTCAGATGTAGGTAGGACTATTAATATTCAGAGGGTTCAGTTCAATGCCTGCACTTATTAATCAACAGGAAACAAGTTGTAAAACTATGATGTTTTCGTTTCAGTTTTTTGTTGGTTTTGGTTTGGTTTTTTTTTTTTGTTTTGTTTTGGCTTCACCAGAAATGTTGTTTTAGAATCTTAAAAGCATCTAAAGAAATAGAGATGTATGACAAGGAAACAGATGAAAGAGATTGAGAGAGCATATGTAACATAAAAAGGCATAATGGCCGTGCTAACACATTGCAAGCTATCTTACTTCTGGTATTTCACCAGATAGCTCCACAGAACACCTACAGCTCTCTGTGTGACCTTCAATTACAGATGGATGGTAAGATACAACCCTGTTTGACTAGGATTAAAAATGGAGGTGTGATAAATTTTTTCAATTTCTGAGTTGTTTCAGTGGTCTACTTCCAAGAATAATAAATGTTACAAGTGAGTCTGGATAGAGAAGAAGGCTGGCAGTAACTAGGGTGAAACGCATTGCAGGCACAAAATGAAACAAAAGTAGTAAGTCTTTTAAAAAATACCATTTTGTCTGGGAAAGAAAGAGAAAAGAGACTGAGGCCAAGAAGGTGATGTAGGTTCATGCTTGCTCATCAAATTTCTGGCCGTGCAGGCTAATGGACTCTTACAATCCTTGTCATTTAATCTTTTTTTCCTTAAAGATTCCACGATTCTCTTCAGATTTCAAGAGAAAAGTGTCCTTTATTTAAAGATTTTTTTTTAAATTTTAGTTTCTTGCTCAAATACCATGTGTTCTCTGAAGGACTTAGGCAGTAATAGAGTTTTTGATGTCTCTAGGCTCCAGTAAAATGTTCCTAACCTGCTGAGGATTTGGGAGAGCTCTAGCACTGAATCTTTAGTCAAGCAGATGGATTGCTGCCAGGGAAGGGTCAAAGGATCTGCATGTAGGAGTGCCCTGAGAGATCCAGAAACTAGGAGCCAGCAGCTGGTCTGTAGCCACAAGTAGAAGCACAAAGTGTTCAGCGGTGGTCTCTGTTCACTTCAGAACAGTCCTGCCTGAAGAGCAGGATGAAGCCAGATAACAGAAATAAGTGGTGTTCCCAATCTTGTTGAACCTTAGTGTTTTTATACAAACTATTCCTAATGACTTATGTTAATTAAAATATATTTTTAAGTTTTTTAGTAAGTGCAGTGCAGGACCCCACAGATGCAGGGCCAATTTTTCTCATGTCTGTTTCTTTCTTGTCTTGATTTTCATATCAAATGAAGTCTAGCTGTCATAGTCAATTGAAAAGTATAAGAATATGGACTAGTAAAATTATTTATTTAAAATACAAGTTAAATAAAAGTTTATTACACATAAACCCCACATGATTTATGAAGTAGGATCATACAGTGCAGCACTGGTCTAAACCTCCTACCTGTTGTTACAGCTGAGTAATGACTTCATAAATCTGTGGGTGTAATTTTGAAACTGGAAAATGCCTTCTTGTGGGCCATTAATATCTATCTGCAGCAAGAAGACTTAAGTTTTTATGTGTATCTACTTCTGAATTTTGTTTAAGGTGACTGATTGCATCATCCAACAAAATACCAAGCTCCTATATGGGGTAACAGGAAGGCACATGGTCTTACTGAGTATCTCTGTGTGCTCATGCTTGTTGCACTTGCGTACACTTAAGTAGAGGTTAATAAGTAGATGAACAGTCTTTGGCATTTCTGAGGTTGTTTTTTTGGTTTTTTTTCTCAAATAATTTCAGTTTAAAAACAAACAATATTGTCAGTGTATGCATTAGCTTTGCCTGGAGTCACAGGTCCTGGGTGTTCATGGGGAATAACACTGATCTGTGCTTCTCAAACAGTGTTTTGTCTGACAGTGGAGTTGTTTGTACCATATTTGTGAGTGAAATGTGGAGTGAGTCCTTATGCCAGGTGCAGAATCCCTTTTGAAGTGGAGTCCATTTTATAAACTTTGGGTTCCAGATGCATTTCGTTGGTTGCATCCATTTCACATACGCAGCCATTTGCTAGGAAACAATCTTCTATTTTCTCAATCTGCAAGACAATTATTTATTTTGAAAATAAATTACTTTTTCTAATTTACATGACCATTTCATCTTTCAGTACAAAAGCTGTAATTATTTAACTGCTAGTGAATTCTTAAAGTTTATTTACACTTCCTCTCATGCATCTTAGGCATTCATACATCTTCAAGCCAAGTACTGCATTCTTCTGATTTAAGCTGTCATCTTCAAGCCACCCACGCATGGCAGTTTGTTATAGGTATTTTTCAGATAGGTTTTTAAATAAACCAGTCCGTAGATGCAGATGAATAGAATGTGTTGTGAAAGTTAAGGCCTGATTTGCAAATTAAGTGGGCTGTTTTGGAGATGGGGTTTGCCGCAGCCAGGCTGGCATAGACAGCAAGTTGTCCTGCCTCTTGGACCTCAGCTAGGGAGATTGTGTCTGGCATGTCTGTGGAGCTTTCTTTGGCTTGGTTGACAAGCCAGATTTGTGTGAACCCTTTGGGCAACCTACTATGAAATTTTGCTAAAAAAACTTCTTTCCTCAGTCATTACAAACCCTGGAGCAACTTCTGAGTCAGACTCAGGCCACTGCCTCAGTGTTTCCTCAGATCTCCAGTCTTTTTCCAAACAAAGACTTGCGTGGCCATATATGAGTGGCCTTAACTACCGCCTGCTCTTTGTCATCTCAGAGTTCTTTTTCCTCTTACAGAAATAGTGTTTTGTTTCTTTTCTTCTCCATCACTTTTCTTCTCCAGCATGTTTTCATCCTGTCATATTTTGCATCTTTATGGGTGTCTTTCCCAGTCTAAGCTTGTTTTGGTTGTTAGTTGGTTCTCTGGTTTGTGCTGGAGAAGGGCTCTTCATGTTCTTCATGTCTTCTTCTGTGAGAAAATTGGGGATGCCTGAGCCCATAAAGATTTATACCTGGATGTAAATTAACTAAAATGTATACAACTTCTCAAGACTGAGACCTAATCTTGGAAATGGTCTGTTGGAAAATTGTCATTAAATGTTATCCAGGTACAGTGTTTAGACCTTTAGCATGTTTTGTATTTTGAAAACTTCTTAACTTAGCAACAGATGGTAGGAATTTTAACAGTGGAAGCTATGTTTGTTACAGAGACTTTTAAACAGGACATAACATGACTGAAAAGTGTTATACCAAAATAATAATTTTATCCATATTAGGTTTTTTTGTGAGCTTACATTGTTGAAGATTCATTATTATAAACAGTAGCTTTCTGCTTTCCATATTTTTATGAGTTTCAATGAGAGAGTGAAAAATCTATTTAGAGTTTTATGCAAAAAAACCACAAGGATACATTTTACTTCTAATTAGAAGGTTTGTGGATGACTGGTTTTGGTTTCACCACTGATTATTAATAAAATATAAGATGTGCACAGTACTCTTCAAAAGAAGAAAGCTAGAAACCTGTCAGTTAAATTCATCTGCTGTGAATCAAACAAAGGATAGGATAGGATAGGATAGGATAGGATAGGATAGGATAGGATAGGATAGGATAGGATAGGATAGGATAGGATAGGATAGGATAGGATAGGATAGGATAGGATAGGATAGGATAGGATAGGATAGGATAGGATAGGATAGGATAGGATAGGATAGGATCGGATAGGATAGGATAGGATAGGATAGGAAGACTGATTTTTACTTGATTTAGTAAACAGGATTATTATTGAATAACATTTTGAATTTTTTTTTTTTTTTTTTTTTTTTTTTTTTTTTTTTTTTTTTTTTTTTTTTTTTTTTTTTTTTTTTTTTTGTCAGAACATGATTTTTTCCAATATGTTTTGACAGTGCCGTCAGCTATGAGAAACTACTGACTGTAGATATTCTCTGCCAGAATGATGAATCTATTTCCAGTAAGCTGGTTGCTTCATCTTGTTGGATATACTCTTGGGCATTTATCACGTAATTCCCTTAATTCAAACCAGTTGTGTACATATTTTGTAAATGATTAATTACTCACAGTAAATAAATATTCATACAAAATCAACTATTTGTTAAATTTTTAAAAATACTGTTTAATAGTTTTTGTACCAGAAATTAGCCTTCTTTTGCTTACTGTGTCTTTTCACAGTAAACAAACTTTAAATATGAAATAATATGTCTAAAAATGCTATTTGCAATGATTACAACATTGACTCTATGCCATTTCAGGTAAAAGCACATTTACATTGCAACTGTATGTTAAATGCTTTTATCAGCACAGTGAGTAATACCAGATCACTTGTCCTTGAAATAACATGCCATTAAATTTGTGAAGATGAAACAACTATTCTCCCGTCAAATTCTGCACTACATTTAGATAAAATGCCTTGGTTAAGTAACGTCTTTGAAGACTGGGTGTTACTTCCTTTAGCTCTGATTATAGTTGGCAGACACTATGTGTTCTTTGTGTATTACCAAAACAGAACATCTATCTGTGGCATACTCCATCTTTTCTTCATAAATGGATGCAACTTCAATGTGTTGGATGTATTTTAGTGTGCTGTTTGCATTTGATTAATTTGGTCTTATAGCTTTTTGTGTGCAAGTTTGTTACCCCTACTACTGAATATATATGATAGATGCAGTGAACTGTTGGCTTCTGTTCTGTAAATATTAATCAAAGAGTATACTCCTCTGCTTAATGGCTTTTCAGTGTAGGAGGCAGCCAAACAACTATAGTCTGCTTTTATTTTTTTTTCCTCTTTAATCATTATTGTGTAAGACACTGGCAAGAACAGTTTTTTTGATCTATAAACACTCTTTCATGCTTCAACATATCCATTGTTTGGTCAAAGTTATGAAATATTGTTGCTCAATGAAACTTTGTTTTCAGCATTTCCTGGTAAAGCAGTAATAGAAGAGATAAAACAGTAACGGAAGGGGCAGATAATTAAGTAAAGAAAAATACTAGGAATACGTGCAGGAAAGAAGCAGAAGATACAGAGTCAGTAAATACAGCCTCAAATGTTTTCAGGTCTTATGATTTGGACAAGTAGTTTTCTTTAATCAAAAGCCAGACTGAATGCTTTTCTAGATTCCATGGCTGCCATGAAAGGAATAATTTGTGACTAAAATATTCTTAAGGATAATAAGGCAGACATTTGCTATGTTCCAATGTGTAATTAAAATATGTGTAAGAATAGATGTTGATTAGTGTGATGGCTTATTTGGGTGAAAAATTAAAAAACATTCAATGTTTAAATAAAAAATCCAATAAATGTTTGGTGGGGATGGTGGTGGTGGAACAGCTCAGTGTGACAAGCAGTGAGTTTCTTGAAAACACAGCTCACATTTTTCTGGCATGTACGTCTGGTATAAATTTGATAGATACAGCTTAGTCATTCTCCATGAATGTCGCCAGTGAGGCAAGCCAAGATGAAGGGAAGGCTTATGCTTCAGGGTTTGTAGTGTTTTTTGGGATCCAGTGTGGGGTTACTTTCCTGTATGTGCATCCCTTGTCCCTTTCTTAAAAATGTCTCTAAATTGTGCTGGTAGCAAAATTTTACCCTAGCACTCTCACTGGCTTAGCTTTAGAAATTAGCAGAATTAGCAGAATTTATTGAATATCTGTTGCCCTTGACCATTGGGACTGACTTTCTAAAATCCTCTCAAGCACTGCAAGATCATAGAGAATATCACATTATTTACTAATGCTTTTGTTCTACAAATTTTATTGTAATTGTTATAATATTTTTTTTAATTCCTGCAGTTTTTGCCTGGAAAATGTAACTCAGTTTTTGTTATAGGCCATCATCTTCTACTATTCTAGAAAGGCATAAGGCAGAAATCTTCCTAACTATCAACAGTTTTGTGTTTTGTAAAATGTTCAAAGGCAGATCTGATTTTATAGAAAAGAATACAGTTGTACTGAAGCTTGTGGTTCAGAAAAATAATAGTTGAAAGCTGAATCATTAAATCACAAAAACTTTGTTTTCAGTCAGTTTATCTCATAATGTATTGAAAGTATTTTCAGGAAACATCAGTAAGAGAACTGAATGGCTTGAATAAAATACTGGTGGCTAAGTCCACATTATGTAGTAGAAATTAAAATATTTTGTTAGTTAACACACATATTTACACACTGTTTAAACCACATGGCTTTGAACAACTCCTATAAATATTCCTCTTGCATATATACATATATTTACATTTAAATATATTAGCATGCTCTTACAGAAGTAACTATTTGGAAAAAAATTTTTGCTTACAAATTGTTTGTATAAATTGAGTATTTGTTTCAGATCCATGTCAAAATGGAAGACTTTGTGATTTTCAAAATCCTTTTTCCTGGATAAAGGCCATTTCTGCTGTCTTAATTCATAAACGTGCTTCAGTGATTTGAATCTACATCTTCCATTTTGATAATGATTATTCCCACATTCTTGTTGTTTGTTAGTTCTCAAAAGTTAATTGTTAGTTCAGCTAAGTAATCTTCATTTCTGGTTAATGTAGTTACTGCTTATCGACCTTCTGAAAATGCTGATAACTCAAGGAAGTTTTTAATGTGCTAAGAAATGCTAACTGTTATAAAGTTAGATGCTTTTCTCCACTGGTCTACACCTGTCATTGTTCTTCCCTAGCTTTTTGTAATTACGCTTTAAGGTTGCAACAATTATATGGTAGTAAGATGAGGTAAAACCAGGGCTTCTTAGAGACTTTGTCTAGTAGCGCTTTTGGTTTAGTTTACATGTAAATATATTGTCCTAAGGTGCAAATTTTAGAAGGGGCTTATAAAGTATATATGTCATTAAAATATGTAGCATTAAAAAGAAATAGAGGGTTTGGATATGTTAATTGCTGTCAAGTAGTTTTTGTTCAGCTTTTGGCTGATACGAGTAAGGTAACTTGTCTGTAATAGGACAGAATCTCTGTTAATAGTACCTATTTTCAGTTACTTACATGTCTTTCTAAGAAATGGGGCAATTTATTTCAATTTAGATGCAGTCTGAAAAACTGAAGAAGGTACTTAATAATGCCTTTGTAGTAGTAGAATTTCTGTATGTCTGTGTAATTGTTTATGGAATTTAAAATGAAAACACTTAAAATGACCAAGGCATCTACATTTGTGGTATAGATACATGGGAAAGTAATAGTTGCATTTTGTCTTTTTACAAACTCTAGGGGGGACACAAAGATTACCTCGCACAATTGGAGTGTCATTGGCAAAAGAACTAATCTTCTCTGCACGCATTGTAGATGGTGAGGAAGCAAAATCAATAGGATTGATCAGCCATGTGGTAGAACAGAATGAAGCAGGGGATGCTGCATACAGAAGAGCATTAGCTCTGGCGAGAGAATTCTTACCTCAGGTATAAGAAATTATTTTGATTTTGTTTGTTAGTTTTTACCATATAATAACACTGAAAAAGAAACAAGTTTATTAAAGAGAATTGTCAACATTATGTATAAAAAAGCTGTGCTAATTATGTAGCAAGTAATCAGAAGTTTTCTTTATTGTATTGAATGGTGGTATTTGGTAATTATTTCGTAGTGAAGGAAAAAACCTCCATCAGAACTCATCTTGCCATGATCTGGTCTTTGTTTTCATTATGTGTTCTGGCTTTCAACTTTTGAACAAGACAAAAAAATATACAGGTTTTATTTTTTAGTATAGCAATTATTTCAATAGTTACTTTTTTGCTGTGGAACTCCTCAGAAGGGAGGCCTAAAAGGAAAAAAAAGGTCTTAGGTAGAAAATTCATAGAAGGCAGAAAAAGAAAATAGTTTTAAACGACTTTATTGGATCACAGGTGTAACAGCTAAAATTTTTCATTGGAAATGTAAAATGTTATAGCTTAAATATGGCATTTATTGGTGGTTACTTGTGTCTTGAGCACCTTGATTGAAAGACAATTACAGTAAAAAATTTAACATACCGTGGTTCTGGAAAGTTGATTGATGATTACAACTTCTTATTAGTACTGCCTCATAAGCATTTGGCTTTTCCCAAATCAGCAGGCCTGAATATCCAGCAGCTGATGCTGATGGATAGGCACAGGACTGAGATGATTCCCAAAGATGTCTTGCAGTTCTGCAGCACATTGGAGGCGAGTGTGGGAATCCCTCTGCTTACTGGGGATCTCAGCCACTCACGGAAGAGTGTCATCACTTGACCAGAGCAGGCTTTGCTATAGCATACTGCAGGTTTGAAGCTTGTATCAGTTAATTTTATTTCATGATGACATATTTTCACATGTCTCTATTGTGCAGTAGTGGGAATATAGGACTGACCTTGCAAAGACCTATGATCATGTATCTTAAAGTGGCCATTCTGAGCCTTGTTTTGAAGGAAATTGATAAAGCTTGACAAATGTGGACATACTCAGCATCTTTGAAACATAAACCAAACACAATAATTAGGTTATTTTGAAAATAGTATACTTTTACTTTTTCTTAATATTCAAACTATCAGTTTAGAAGCAAGTGTCTACTATAATGATAAAGTCTAGGATATAAGACTTATATACAGTAAATTTAACAGAGTCCAAAGTCTAGATGGTCCTAATATAAGATTATTGGTGTGCAGACTCTTCAGTTACAAATCTTGCAGGTTTTGATAACATGTAAATAAACTTTCTCTCTCATTTTAGGGACCAGTAGCAATGAGAGTTGCAAAACTGGCTATCAATCAGGGAATGGAGGTAAGGATCTGTACTTTCCATGAGAGTAGACTGTAAGTCAGCTTGGCCACAGTTGTACTGCTGTGGAATTCTTTTTCTAGAACTGTTTTTATTTTATCATTGTGTAGTCTTTCAAAGTCTGTTTGGTCAAAACTTTCTAAAGAATGAAATATAATTTTTTAGATCTCAGACTCCTGAGGTGATGATTTCTGTAACAAGACTTAGTAACCTCAAGAGTAGTGTACTCTGCTAATTATTAATAGTAGAAAGTAAACATAAACTACTACGAACAAATTGTGTTTCAAATCTCAGGTGGGAAAAATTATCAAAGTCATACTCTGTTAAGTCTGTCAAGCTCTCAGTGTTTAGTAACTGATAAAGTTAAAGGCTGAAGTGTATATTATTTTTTAATAGCTTAATAGCAGTGTTAAAATTGTACCTGGAACCTGATTTCATGTTTGATTCTGATTGCCACTCCATTGCCACACTATTGACCTGTCTCTAAAGCTCATTTAAAATCCCATCTGGACATGTGTTTTACTTTAGGTGTACATATCCTAATGCTGAGTTCAGCAGATCTGTTCATTTTTAAAGTTAGGCTCTGCACCAAGACACCTGGTATCTCAATCTGGTACAAGGGAAAGAGAATCATACCACATGCAGCGTCTGAATCCAAGAAGATGAATTTGTCCTTTTTTATTAAAAGTCACAAAAGCAGCCAGTGAGCTCAGCAAAGTGTAACACCCGTAAGTGGTGGCCTGAGAATCAAACTTGGATGCCATTGCACAGAGTATGTTAGGTTTCCATAGCAAGTAATGGTGGAATTTGAGATTTATTTCAATACACAATGTTCAAAATGCTACAAGCTAAGTTGTCTGACTACAGATATAGTGGATTGAAAGGTCAAAATAATGGTGTTTAAAGAATTAGGGATGATAGGGTTAGAGGGACTCTGAATGATCACCTCTAGTTCAGTCTTGAGGCCCAAGACAAGATCTACTATATCAAAACCAATCAAGCCAAGTGGTTGTCCAAGCTGTTGTTACAAAACTACCATGGCACAGATTTCATGGCTTCCTTTGATAACTTGTGCTATAACTTACCTCCCCTTGAAAACTGCTTGTGGTGCATAGCCATAGTCCTTCCAGTGGTCAAGAAGAGAGCTAGTGAATTCTGTAGGATCTGGTGCTTGAGACAGTTGGAGAAATAGTGAGGCCAAAATTCAGCCTTTTCAGATGTTCAGGACAGCTCACAAAGTAACTAAATGTATTAAAAATAGATGATGATGATGATGATGATGATGATGATGATGATGATGATGATGCAGGGCAGACATGGTCCTCTTTATTTTTCTGTTTTAAATCCTTTTGAACTTAGATTTGTGTTTATTTTGTGGCATGCTATCCTATTCTTATATGACATTTTGAAGATACATTGTTTCAGAAAAGATTTTACTTAATCATACAGTGCATCTTTTCCTCTGTAGTAAATGAAATTATTATAAATGTGCAGGTAGCTAATGTTTTTTACCTGACCAGATGACTCGTAGTAAAGAGCAGACATTTTCTGAGTGTAGTGCGTGCTAGTTGTATGGCTAAATCAGGAGTCTGTTACAGAAATACTAACCACTCTTACCAAATGTAAGTGTAGCATTTCTATGTTAGTGTAGAAGAACTTTGCAGAAGTAAAAACCATTATATTTATGTTAGCTGTGAGCTGTAATTTACATATTATAAATAATATATAATAAATAAAAAAAATTCTTGTAAAAATCATTGTATTCTTTTCCTCAGGTCGACTTAGTAACAGGTTTAGCAATTGAAGAAGCTTGTTATGCTCAGGTATGTAAATATGATTATATGAAGAAAACACAGAAAACAGGCTTTGTTGATGCCTGTTATGAAACATGCAGAAATTTAACTAGAAATTGCTTTGTGATTTCTTCTGCAAATTTTTAGGCATTTTATTTAAACTTCCATCTACTTGGTCTGATTTTGTAAGGAATTTAAGGGAGGAGGCAAAGTTCAGGACACATCGGTACCAGTACTGTTAGGGTGAAGGGTAATGAAGCAGTACCAGCCATACACGTAGCCAGTCATACACTACCATGCCAGTCCAAGGACTGCCTCACTTTTGCTTTGTTTTGGTTTAACATGAAAGAATACAAAGGACACTTCGGTAACACCTGCGCTAATGGCATATGCGCTGACCAACAAAAATTTGAGACAAACCTCTTTGCCAGTAAAACATGGGAATGATGTGTTTGAGATTAGGTGTTCTTAGACTTTGAGACAAGATTTTTATGATGGAAATAGAACTGTCAGCGTTACATGCTTATTTAAGATGTGGTAATCAGATTTTTAACCTTCTTCCTGCTCTCAAAAACCCAAAATTAACCCATCCAAAAAACCCTCAAGAAACCCAAAACCTACTTTCCCCTCTCCCCCCAACCCCACTGTCCCTATTAA